TCTGCTATAGAGGAAGACAGAAATGACTTTAGAACCTGTCCAATGCAGTTATAATGCATTTAGGAATAGTACTGTTCTAAGGAAGTGAAGGGACAGTGGTCATGTGAGGGTTAATGACCAGATCTAGCCGATTGAGTCAGACAGCTAAGAAGCTCCTCCTCCTGTTCCTGCCTCCCAGCTTTCTGACTCGATCTGCTCGTGATCAGACGCACCCTCCATTGCTCTGTTAGAATTAATTCTAAATTAATACAAACAAAAGAAAACAGGTTAACAAAACAAAGTTGTAAAACAGAACACTGTTCAAATGCTAGCAAAAGTAGAAGGATGATGGAAAAGAGCATGGTTGTAATCGCCAGCAGTTTTATAAGACTGCTATATTGGAATAGAAAAGGATAAAACTTAATTCCTTGTTTGTCTTAAATTGTAGTTAAAAAATTTTGGTCTGGAGTAAGTGTGGAAATTTATCTATCCGAACACAACTTTCAAGTTGCTGATGATAAATAATTTCCAGATATGGTGTAGTATCCCTATTCTAACAAATATATTCAAAGTTTCTTATCTGGTAAATCACTGGCAACTAATATTCAGCATTGTGCAAAATTGTGTGAGGGCACTTGATATGAATACACTACAATTTTTGTAAGTCATACATCATTCTGCACATGCCTCTGTATGCATGGGTACCTGCAAGCTTTTGGGGAGGAGTGGATGGAGAGCTACAGAGTAGGTATGATTGCAAGGATAAAACCCGAGAACAAAAACCAATAACTTCCCACCCTGGTCTGATTGTCGGAGACAACAATCAGACCAGCTACTTGGCATTCTGAGGTCTCCAGGCTCGTTGGCAGAATATGGAATCTATGGAGAATCTATGGGAATATGTTTTGAACTAGTGTCTACTTTAGAAATGGAAATATGTAATTACATGTTTTCTGCAAGCATGGTGAATATGAATATTAAAGTAAAATCTAACTGTTTGAACATATTTCAAATTTAGTAAATATTATATTTTGCTTATTTTGTGTATTTCAAAATCTGTTAAGGCATTCTGTTATTTTCTGTGAAGATGGATGCATAGAGAACTTGTGTCTTTACTGAAAACAGCTACTTAAATGCTGTACTCCCACCTTTTTCAGAACAGTGATAAATGTGACCAAAAAATGCCACTGAAGAGTCAGATTTCAGCTGGTAGTAACCATGGCCAAAATTGTTTGGCAGTGAAAACTGTATCAACGAAATAAGGGAGGTTTGTTGGAAGCATGCTGCCTGGAAAAATTGTAGGACTCAGAGAAGTTCCTACAAGCTCCTCTACATCTGTGGCTTATATTCTACAAAAGAAACTGGGTGCTTAGTGGCGATGTAATACAGTATATCGAAGGCCATATCTTTAAAGTGATGTGTTATTTTTTGGTCAGCTAATTACTTAAATGTCAATTTTTTAAAAGCTTAATTTATTCCCATGTTCCTTCAAAACATTTCAAAGTATTTGATCAATGATGCAAAAGGAAAACAGACCAGACAATTTAAAAGAGAAAAATAAATTCATACTGGATACACATTTCACCAACTGCAAGTCATATTTATTAAGATCAAATACTAAGAATATAAAATGCCTGAGAGTATCCTACTGTGGTCTATGTACATTTCATGGTGACAAGTCACCATTATTGAAAGAAGCATGTATGGATTATCTGTCTGATCCTGCAGGATTACTTTTCTTAAAGTTCAAATGGGAACGTGCACATTAATAGGCATATTTCTGTATAATCTTCTTTATTTTCTGTGAAATCAAACAATATACTTATTTTCTATTAAATTATAGAAGTAAATATCCTGCAATTGTGTTATGGATAGTTAAAATATCCAATTTCAACCAGTAGGACTAACTGTGTACTCATCAAAATTCATGTATACAAAAGTGCTTAGTATGTGATGATATCATTCCTATTATATTTCATGACTAATCATGCAGGTTTCCTGAGTGCAATTCTTTCTTTGTCTGTCAAGCTGAGAATTTAAGTTAGTCCAGTAATTTTTAAATTTATTATTCTCAAGCTACCATAAGGTACCATTTTTATATCTTTATTCAGAAGATACTTTTTTCATATTTTTAGCATTGGCACATTTTCAGTGAAAAATTGTCAATCTAAAATCATAATCATATCATAAAAAATCATAAAATAGGGAAGGCCTAGACATCATTCTTCAAGCTAATTCTATATATTACATTTGAGTAATTCCTTTTATGAACTATAAAAATAAAAAGTAAAATACAGGTATGATCTTTCTGACAATCTGAATTATTCTTGCAAGCTTTTTTCTTAACTTTTAATTTCAGAATTACAGATAAATTTCTTTTACCAAGAAATTGACTGTACTTTTACAATAAATTTCTGTTCCTCAGTTGGTTCTCTGCCTTCTCTATATCCTGATGTGGGAAGTATAAATAGTATTAATTCCTGCGAAGAGTTTTTTGGAAAATTTTCATTTTTATCTTTCTGAATCAAGTTATACTAAATTATATCCTAAAGCAGGAATAGTGAATCTACTGCCCCAAAGTTCTTTTGAAGCCCTTAATGCCTCCCCAGCTTCAGTTAAAAAAATAATAATGGTACTTTCCTCTCATTTCAGGGCAACAAAAACAAGTGTATACTTAGTTCCTCCACCATTATAAGGATGGGAGGGGAATCAAATAATAAAATTCTTAGAATAGGCAGAGTAGAATTTTCTTTCAAGAAAAGGAAAGCCTTAGCTCTACGTAGTTGTGTAACAACCATTATGAAAACATTAGCTTAGTCTAGAAAAATAAAAAGGGCTAAGGAAGTAACTCAGAATAATCTCACCCCAAATCTCTCTGATTTAAAGGGAAGGGAGCAAGAAATTCTTTCAGCCTTTCAAAATTCTGTTATCAAACCTTATTAGAAGCGAGTTCCTATAGTACTTATTGGGCCCAATTCCTGACCTGGCCTACCTCACAAGCCTAAGTCATGATTCCATTAATCACCATGTGGATCTTTTGCCTAAATTTAAGCCAAGTCTCTAGAAACTAGCTACTTTTCAATACGTGATTTTCAATATTTGATAGAATAATTTGGATCTAAAATTGCTGTCCTTTGGCTGTTTTGACAACTTCTTCGAAGACTGAACTGCAAAATATGTGACAACTAGTTTGTGAACAAATCAAATGCTGGTTTAAACTTGCCAGCCTGTACTTCTCTTCTTCCAGTTGTTTGATTTGCTTTTTTCTTGAGCTGTTAACTAGATTCCACATCACGGTGTAGTCTGAGATGGAACAGTTATTCTGCAGATTGCATATTTGACCAAAACAGCAGGAAGAAGTGGAAGAGGGCAAGATTAACAAGTCTAAATAATTATGTAATATGTTGTAATACTTGGATGATTACTTGGGAAGGTGGGATCACAGTCTAGCTATTTTTCCAAATAATTCTATTAAATGTTTGAATAGAGACTGAGAAAGAAAAAGAAGGATTGCAAGAAAAACAAATGTATAAGGACAGCTGTCTCCAGAAAACAAGTCCCCACCAACTTTGTGACAGGTATAAGCAATTCCCTAAAAGTATAATATGATAAAAGGGGACTGTTTCCTCTTTATAAAAGACAAAATACAATACAGGATATTTCAAATAACAATTTATCTTCAAATGCATATTCTATATCTTTACTCTGTAAGCACATCAACATTTCAAATGTATAAAATAATCCCATTATCCTAATACAAACAAAAAATGGTGAATTCCCCCATCTCCTAATTTCCCACCCCTAATTTACTGCCCTGTGGCCTTTTTGTGAGAAAAAGAAACATCCATAAGGAGAAACAGCTTGGGCAATCTCATGTCATTCTGTTTAATCCATAGAAGATCAAAAGGAGGGAGGTGATCTCCTTCGGCTCCTTTGTACAAAGCTGCAAATCATCAGCTCCATTTGTCTGTGGAGCTGTCTTCAATTGGCCATCTTTCCCTGGAAGCCTGAATCACAATGGAACCATGAGCCATACTTTGAATCTTTTGTTTTGTTGAATCTGTAAAGTGTCTTTTAACATAAATTTTTAAAATCAATTATGAAATAGCAATACTAAAAAATATGTCAGCTATGAAATATGAAAAGTTTATAAATGCAAAGCAAAATTTCCAGTTTCAGTGGCATATTTGTATATGTATAGGTCTGCAGATTAATAACATCACTTTCAATCCTTTTTGGATGTGGAATTTAGGAAAGAGAACATTTATATTTATAAAAAGACATAAATCTTAAAATTAGAGAAAGAAACATCAAGAACCTATCAATGCGAAATTTGAACTTTGAAGAAGAATTGGAAAAGACTCTTGAGAATATCATGGATCATAAAACAAATCAATCCAGGGTTGCCACTTGAGACAGAAATGACCAGACTCAAATTATCATATTTTGGACACATTATATAGAGACCCCACTCCCTTGAGCTGTCTATAATGCTGAAAGAATGTAGTAAAAAAAAGAAGAGGACAACTAGTAGTAAGGTATATGGACTTGATTACAGTCGAGATGGGTGCACTGTTGGGAGATCTGAAGGGCTAAATTGGAGACAGATCACCCTGGAGAAGATTTACGTGATCGCTAAGAGTCAACACTGAAAAGTACACCGAGTCAACACATGTTTGTGCTTGTGTATTTTTTTTATATTTTGTCTGTGTATCTGTACTTTTTTACATTTTGTTGTATCAGCAATAAAATAAAGATTCTTCTGAGAATTCAGCGTTGGTTATCTGACTTTTAATATTCCCCCTATTATCCATGTAGGTATAATCCCCACCTTCTCTCATACATATTCTGTAGAACCTTAATCAGTTATATTTCAGAAATGCTTTTTTATAAGCTTTCATTAAGACATTTAGTATTTGCTTCTGCTATGCTTTGCTATAATATGTTTTCCATGATAATAAGAATTTGATGTGTTTCATGAATAAAGCTGAGGTCTAAAAATACTGTAACCCTTTTCACAGGAACATCTACCTTTATAGAAGCCTTGGCAACCAATGGTACCAATATTCAGACATCAGTAACAGGAGTAGCAGCCAACAAACGAAGATTTATTGATGAAAGGAGAGATCAGCCTTTTGATAAAAGGCTACGATTCAGTGTGCGGCAAACTGAAAGTGCTTACCGTTACAGAGACATTGTTGTCAGGAAACAAGATGGATTCACGCATATTTTATTATCCACCAAATCATCAGAGAACAATTCATTAAATCCAGAGGTTAGAGTTGTTTCATTATTTCTGATTTTTTTAACTGGGAGGATGGAATTCCTGCTCTCCCAGAAACTCACAATCACCCATGCTCTAGTCGCTCCAGATTGGATTACTTTAATGTGCTCTACGTGGGGCTGTCCTTGAAAGAGTATTTGGAAGCTTTAACTAGGACAGCATGACCTCTGCTCTGTGGGTTGTACTGATTGCCAGTTTGCTTCCAGGTCAATACAAGGTGTTGGTTTCAATCTTTAAAATCCTTCATGGCACGGGATGGGTTATCTGAGGGATCATCTCTCCTTAATTACATATGCCCAGCCCAATAGATCTGCCAGAAAAGGTATGCTTCAAGTTCCATCTGCTAAAAACTTCAGATCCCATCTACAAGAGGCTTTGGGTCCCATCTGCTAGAAGTGGGTCCCAGAAGGAGAGCCTTCTCTCCTGTGGCATCTACCTTAGGGAACATTCTCCTCCCCAAAGTGAATCTAACTCTTCGTCTGTTAATAGTCCCTCAACATCTGGTTATGTCTTCAGGCCTGGGGTTCTAGAGGATCAGTGATATTCTAAGATGGCTCTGTTATTGGGATTCATATTTATTCTCTCCTATGTTTGGCGGTTTGCATATTTTAATCATTGCTTTTATATATTTATTGTTTTACTTGGTTGGTGTATGCCACCGAGAGTCACTTCTTGTCAGATGGGTGGCCATATATTGATAAATAAATAGTGTAGAAATTAAAAGTTAAGCAGTACATCAATGGCAGAACATTAGTAAATTAGTAAATGCAAGTGTGGAGTTCAGTGCTGGAGGTAAGGATGCAGAGGCCTTTTCAGCACAATTAGAATGATGATAGCGAGAGCTCATTGGTAGAACATGTATCATACAAGAAAGTCCAGGCTTTGAATTTTTTTGAATCCAAAAAAAATCCAAAGAGGGCTTTTAAGAAACAAAAGGTAAGGAATCCCCGCGGATTTTCCTCCACTAGTCATCGCTGACTATAAGGGGCAGTGCTCATCTCTGTTTTAAGGCCATTGAGCCAGTGCTGTCTAAAGACATTTCCACGGTCATGTGGACAGCATGACATCACAGAGTGCTGTTACCTTCCCACCATAGTGGTACCTATTTATCTACTCATATTTGGATGCTTTTGAACTGCTAGCTTGGCAGGAGCTGGAGGCATGGATGGGAGCTCACCCAGTCACTTGGTGCTTGGTGCTTGGGTCTAAAACCTGGGCTGCCAGCTTTCCAGATAACAAGCCTAGCGTCTTAACCGCTGAGCCACTGCACCACCCCTCCTTAAGAAACAAGTCTGCCTGAAGCTTCATAGGTCATTGTCAGTCCATTTCAACACTGCAGGTCATAAATTGGGAAATTATAAGCTAAAAAAAAGTTATGAATTGTGCCATAGTATTATACTGATATAATACTAGCAATTATATTAGTTTCCAAACCTAAAGCTCTGTATATTTAAGCATTCAGGTTAATGGAATTTAAAAGCTGTTTGACAAGGATGTAAATATGAAGTTTCAGCTTACCTTAAGTGATTTATTGATTTGCCTGTGTACTATTTTTCAGTATTTTTGTAATCTATAAACTACCATATTTATTAAGAATTAAGGTTTTCTGTCCAATTTTATAGTTAATTTAGATATTCATAAACTTCAGGCTTATTCTTTGAGAATAAATTCTGCTGAGCTCAGTAAAATTTAACACAACACAAGTTCATATTGGTAATGCGTACATTTTAAAAACATTTGTCCATTGTTGTCTGTCTGTCTCTTTTGAAAAAAATAATAATAATGAAGTTTTAGACTTTGTCCTAAATTTAGATGTCTCTGAATTGGTTACATATGCCACCTGCTGTTCACATTACAGAAATACTTGGTAAATGAAAAGCTTTTCAGAAGCAAATATTATATATCCCTTTTTTTCATGTGTTTCATGCATCTCATTCCAGGTGATGAAAGAAGTCCAGAGTGCATTGAACACAGCAGCTGTTGATGACAGTAAACTTGTACTTCTTAGTGCAGTTGGCAGTGTTTTCTGTTGTGGCCTTGATTTCATTTATTTTATTCGACGTTTGACAGATGATAGAAAAAGGGAAAGCACTAAGATGGCAGATGCAATTAGGTTGGTAAAATTATTCAAATTGTGCTTAACAGATCATGAGCTTAAAACAGCTATTTGTGAAACCAAAACTGCTATTCCAATTATACTTGGATTTTTTTTCCTCAGTCAGTAATCAGAATATTTATAATAATAAATCATAATATTTATTATTTTGGCGATATTGTAAAGGTGTCTTCTTTAAAATTAGGAAGAGTTGCACATCCATTAGGCTAAGCATGTTTCCAAGACAGTTTTTATATTTGGAAGAATCTTATTGAATAGATACAATTTTTACCTTTCATAAAAGTCTCATAATATAGGAAACCAGATTATCCAGAAAGATTATTCAGATTGGATATTTGGAAAATATATGTTGAGAGAGTATTTGTGTGTATGGACTTCCTACTCACAGAATGAGAGTCCAATGTTCTGCTTTTCCAACTTCCCTCTTTCACTGAAAAGGAAATTTGGATGGATGCTTTGTAACAAGCCACTATTTATTATTAATACCAAATGTGAGAAACTTTGTTAAGAAATGACTCTATCAAAACCAAATCTTAATATCTAAAACAAAAAGCAGTGTTGAAGAATGAACAAAATGAAATGTGATTGTGTTCCTTAAACAATATATTATTTCAAGCGTTTTTATGTTTTGTTTTCCAAGCGTGTAATATGAAAAACTGCAAGTCAGTTGCTTTATTTCTTACTGTTTATCCTCAATATAAAAAAACATTTTAGCAAAATATGTATTTTCTTCTTGAAGTAAAGGTTCATTTTAGAGCTATAGCATTTTCTTTTTTCAAAAATATCTTTAACATGTATTTATCAAATTGTTTTGACCATCCTAACAAAATACAGGTAAGTCCTCGACTTACAACTACAATTAAACTCCACATTTTTGTTGCTAAGTGAGACATTTGTTAAATGTGTTTTGCCCCATTTTACTACCATTCTTGCCACCGTTGTTAAGTGAATCACTGCAGTTGTTAAATTAGTAACACAGAATCTGGCTTCCCCATTGACTTTGCTTGTCAGAAGGTCACAAAAGATGATTATGTGACCCTGGAACAAGAACCGTCATAAGTATGAACCAATTGCCAAGCATTTGAATTTAGAACACATGACCATGAAGATGCTCAACAGTCCTAAGAGTAAAAAATGGCCATAAGTCACTTTTTTTAGTGCCATTGTAACTTTGAATGGTCACTTAAATGAACTGTTGTAAATTGAGAACTATCTGTAATACAAAATGTTGTTTTAATAATTTTTAAAACAACTACTTGAAGGCACACACTGGCTACAAACAACTTGTGTGGCTATGTCCACTTTCTGCGTTAGAGATTGATCATTAAATTTGATGCCCTCCCTCCATTTCACCTCCAATAAAAGAAAGATGTTACTATTTCTTGTTTTATACTTTCAGAGGAAAATGTGGTGGTGCCTATCATGTTTTCAAAAAAATCTTTATAAGCAATAATCACTAGAATAGTTACAATTTTGAAATTTTTTCACTGAAGAATATTGCTGATAAAATGTGAGCTTGTTAACCATGTTCTTATTTTATTTCAGGAATTTTGTAAATACTTTTATTCAGTTTAAAAAGCCCATAATTGTTGCAGTAAATGGCCCAGCTATTGGACTCGGAGCATCTATATTACCTCTATGTGACGTAGTGTGGGCTAATGAGAAGGCTTGGTTTCAGACTCCGTATACAACATTTGGGCAGAGCCCTGATGGATGCTCATCTCTCACATTCCCAAGAATAATGGGTCTGGCATCTGTAAGTAATCTGTAAAATAAATATATATTTATAACATTTGATGTGCCTATAGTTTTCAGTATAATTGAATTGACATAACTTTCTCAAAATATTTGTTTATGGCACATAACCCTCAAAAGTGTCACATTTTGACTCCTGCTGTATAAGGAAAATGTTTTTTTGGGGGGAAACGGTTTCTGGCTCCTAAAATATTGCTATGTGCTTTTGTGTTGATGCATTTGCATATTCAGGAAAACTTTTTAATTCTATATACTTACATTCTATGTATCTAAAGTAAGTTAAGAACTATTTTTATAGAGCCAAAGAAGAGATGTTGGATTTAATTTAGAAAAGATGCTGCATCGGGACATGGGGAGCATAAAGTTACAAAAAATAAAAAACCTACATTAAAGCAGTCAAGCCTTTTTCTGGAGTCAGTTGAAATAAAATCAGGAAGGCAGCTGGGTATCCAATGAGAAGCAAATCGTTAAATGTATCTGTACAAGCTGAAGCAAAAATATATCATTGGTATGAAAGGTTTCCTAGAGTTTCGGATAGTATAAATGATTATATACTGTGTGAAGCTGGAATTAAGTCTTGTGGACTGATAGTCTAATAATCTAATCTACTTAGTCTACCATATGTTACAGCTTTCTGATTTATTTTCTAGATTCTTTGTGTTCAACTCCCATTGAAACAAAGGGATTATAGACCTTAGGCCTTGCACAACTATTTTTTTTTTATTATTATTATTATTATTATTTTCCATCTAAAAATAGTAAGGAGCTTTATTAATATTTTTGAGATATTTTTGGGTGGCAGTCCAAAGTTGGGGGAATGACCCCAAAGGTCACAAAAATGACTGATAGAACTTACATATGGTCTGCAGGTTGCCACAGCTTGACTTTGTAGTCTGTTTCCCTTACAAAGTTTCTCTATGGGAAACCCTGTCAGCTTCCTTTGAGATATTATCATGCTAGATGCTTCTGCAATCAATTCAAGGCAGTTAAAGTTGTTGACTTTAGAACTAATGGTATACTTTGCATTGGTTGTTCTGGTTTTTGCTTTTCTTTTAATACTAACTAGATTTTTTTCCTTCAAGGAAAAGGATCTAGATGTAAGGATCTAGATCACAAGTGTCAAGCTCATGGCGTCATGTTGCTGTCACGTGACGTTTTGCGATGTTTTTTCCCTTCACGGAGCTGGGGTGGGTGTGACCTGCACATGACATATCCGTATTTGACACCCCTAATCTAAATTCTATATTTTGGCAATAGATTTTTTTTAAAAAAAAAATAAATCTTGCAACATAAACACTATGAAACTATCGTAATTTATGTAGGGCTAGAAGTTGACATTGAATTATTGTGTTGCTTTCAATATTTGCTTTATTTTCAGTTCAGCGCACAAACAAAAAGTAACGTATTCTAGTTAATTGTTCCAAGTAGGAGCATTTTTTAAAGCCATAGTGTTTATATTTAGAAAAATGTTATACTTTATTATAACTTACCAATAATTTTTGTCTTTCTCAGGCAAATGAAATGTTATTTAGTGGAAGGAAGTTAACAGCACAAGAAGCTTGTTCGAAAGGACTGGTGTCTCAAGTATTTTGGCCAGGAACATTCACACAGGAAGTTATGGTTCGAATTAAGGAACTTGTCACATGTAATTCAGTTGTAAGTTGCTTGCTTCTTTCAATGGAAGTTTAATATTATAATGTTATAATGATCAAGTGTCAGTTCACACAGTAAATTTAGTTTAAAACCATTTGGCCTGGCCCTGCAATATTCTGGGAAGGATTTTCACTATTCAAAACATACAATGGGCAGATAGAGTTTCTACCAATCATCCCAATTAACTTTGAACCCAAAAGCTGCCACTTTATTGTCTCTTCTTTTAAAAAGGCACTCAACTGCAGATTGTAATATTTCACAGAGAGAAGGAAATGACTTGTGGATGAATTCTGCAAATAGGTTCCCAATTTCCAACAATACATCATCAGTAGCTGTAATGCAGCTATTGTGTAATGCACAAATCTAGGAAACAAATTGTAAGTGTTTATGATAAGAATGCACTAAACTGTTGTTTTGACTGTACTGGTATAAATATCTGGTCCAAAACTATGGAAGGGAAAAAGCATGAAAACTCTCTCTTGACTTTTTACCTGAACAGCTTAGTTCCACCACATTACTCTGTTTAATTTAGAATTTCTTACTGTATAATACTTACTTACAACATAAAAACATGTTTGCATTTAATTATCTACTAATGCAGAATGTAAGGTTTTATAATATCCTGAACCCCAACCACTATTACAAAATAATTTGTTGCTGCTGCATTAGATATGATATGCTCATAACACCTGCATTCTAGTAGTGGTCCTGAGTGGGACCAATACACATTTTGCAGTCCATTAAAAGTACTTTAACTGTGCCTTCAACTGTATTCTACTACTCTATTTGGTTGGCCTTTCTGGAATAGTTCCACAGTATATGGTAGATTTGCAATGGAGTGTGGATTGCTACTTCAACCTTTTTAGCATCTAGCCTTGATTTAGTACCTATTATTATTAGCAAAAGATACTTATATAACCAAACCAGAGACAGCTGGGTAGCTTCAGTGAAGGATGAAAGATACTAGCTTCCACATTGCAGCTGTCTTGTAGTCACCCCAGCCTTAATTACAGTTGAGAATGTTAATGTTTCTTGACTAAGATTTCTTGCAGCAATTAAAACCCATTTGCATGTCTTCTATGCATGCACATACCCATTTTTAGCACAGCATCTATGTTAATTGCAGTCCCACCACAGCCTGCTAGAGGGATTGAGGCAGTTTATCTTTCTGAGTTAATATTTGCACTTTGCTGTCTGGACTTTGTGATTTTAAAATGCTAATTTTAGGAAATTATAAAAGTTGCTTGTGTTCTAAATTGAATATATACTACTTATACATTAAATGCCTGTTCATTTATATCCTTAAGAATCCTTTCCACATCTTATCTGTAATCAAAGGAGTTGTGTAATAGAACACTGATATGGGGGAACGAACATGCAATCAAACCACAAAGGAGAGCAACATGTTGAAATAGCACTTCAGATGTGCAAACAGTGCAACTCTACATCAGAATTCAGATGACAGGATTCATTCAGGATCCATTCAAGTGTCAAAAGAATGCCTTTTGCAGACATGTGGCTGTTTCAGAAAATTGTTGAATAAGATAATGTTCTGGAACACTTTGTGCTGCCCTAAATCAGTGAAGATCTGTTGACATTTCTTTCACATTTAGTAAAACAAAGCTAAAATAAATTTATTCCACATTATCTTGATGTGTGTTACATACATTTATTCCACATTTTCTTGATGTATATTACATACCGTATTTTCCGGCGTATAAGACAACTGGGCGTATAAGACGACCCCCAACTTTTCCTGTTAAAATACAGGGTTTGGGCTATACTCGCCGTATAAGACTACCCCTCTTCCAACGCACACCAAATAAAAATTAAAAAACATCAACTGGCTCACCCACAATGTAAAAGCAGCTGTGCTAGACCCAAAATGGCCCCTGCAACAAGCAGGAACCTCACACAGCCACAAAAAGCCCAAAACCCAATTTTCACACTTTACACACACAAAATTCCACATACAGCTTTGTGAGATTTTCTGTGTTTGTGTAGTTAGAGTGAAACACTACAGAAACACACTAAATCTCAGAAAGCTGCACAAATATTGTTTTATTTTATTTTATTTTTATTTTTATATGAAAGCTAAATTTAAAACTTCCTAAACTTTAAATGGCTAAAAAAGAACAACTAAAAAAAAAACCAATTGACTATTTTTTTGAAAGCTCCCAAAGGGGAAAAAAACTTACCCAATAGAACAGGGGTCTCCAACCTTGGCAACTTTAAAACTTGTAGACTTCAACTCCCAGAATTCCTCAGCCAGCTTTGCTTTGCTGGCTGAGGAATTCTGGGAGTTGAAGTCCACAACTCCCTGCTTGCTTGATTGCAGGCAGGGAGTTGCTTGCTGATGGAATGGATTCAGGCAAGCGAAGCAAGGCAAGTGTTGCGACTAGCAGCTAAGGTAAGCAAGCTGGAGGGGGAAAACTTTTTTCCTTTTACATGGCTCTGGCGATCCAAGCTGAGTTGCCTGATTAGCAGGCAACTCAACTGGGATGGTCAGAGCTTGGATCGTCAGAGCCTTTCGGGCTGTTCTGCCTGGTTACAGGAGAACGACACCCGGCGTATAAGACGACCCCCGACTTTTGAGAAGATTTTCATGTGTTAAAGAGTCGTCTTATACGCCAGAAAATACGGTACATTTTTCATTAGCCTAAATCAGTTGTACTGAAACATTTGAAAAAGGAAGAAAAATTGAGCAAAGGGGACTAATAGGAAAATCCTATTTCATGCAGCAAATCACAACTTGCAATACATCCAAAAATCTGCCTGTACAAGTAGAAGAGAGGAAACAGACTTTTTCACTTGGTGTTTTTTTTTTAATCCTTGGATTTATATTCTCTTTCCTTGAAGCCAAAGAAAATGATTTGATTTGTGCAAATTCCAAGTCTACTACCAGTTTGGTGACTTTTGTGGGGCCAGAAAGGCTGTTGAGTCAGAGGAGCCATTTAATTTCTGACTTCCTTCTACATGCCTTTCCTTCCTTCCTTCCTTCCTTCCTTCCTTCCTTCCTTCCTTCCTTCCTCCCTCCCTCCCTCCCTCCCTCCCTCCCTCCCTCCCTCCTAGTGGGGAATCCCTTTTTTATTTGTAAAGGGCAGACTAGAGGAAACATGGCATCTGAGATTATTGGATTGACTTAACATTTCATTATTTAAAAGTTTTATTTGTGAAATTGCCTGAAAATGAAAGTCCCTGAAAATAGTTAACATCCTAATTTTAGCATGCCTGAAAAGCTGTGTGCATATAAATGTAAGTCATTTCGAAGTATAGTCACCCTGTCAGTTAGTATCACTTTGACTTTTTATTTGACCAGCATTCTTTCCATTTCAATTGCCCAATTCAGTACATACTATCATTCATATTGTTGCCAACTGTATGAAGCAAAGCGTTTATAATGTAGACTTTTTCTTCCAAAATAAGGCTGGGTGGGTTTTTTTGTCGTTGTTGTTGTTATTGTTAGTCTACCACTGCTAGTGCTAATTTTAATACAAAACTAGTTTTATGCAAATTAAACTCATGGAGACCAGGAAGAACTTCAAAAGTGTAGCATAGAAAAATAAAGGATTGCTGAAGGGAAGGCAAAATTTTCTTAAAAGTTGATGGTCCCAGTCTTTTTTAAATTTAATTTAATTTAATTTAATTTAATTTAATTTAATTTATATGCCGCCCCTCTCCGAAGACTCAGGGCGGCTCACAATACATTATTTTTATCTGTTTTTTCTTTCTTGGCTGTTCAGGCAGCCTATATTTTCAAAAGTGTTCTATGTTTATCAAAGTGTTTTCCAAAAGAATAGTTTCCCTGATTTTCCAGAGTTTCAGCAGGTGAATGTAGAGGACTTCATTCTCTAATCTGGACCACAAGCAGAAAATGAGGAATTCCTCTCCTAGCCCTACAATTGTGGTCACCAGAACTCATCCATGTCTACATGCATGTTATTCAATTACTTTTATTAATAACATGGAGAAAGAAATTAAGGGAATGGTAATCAGTTTTGTAGATGATACAAATAAGATAATTAATATCATAAAAGGCAAAAAGAAATTCAGAATGGGCCGAAAGAAATGCAATAGTCTTTTACAGAAACAAATGCAATATTATTAATTTAGTAAACAAAAATTCTTGTTTCAGGAATGGAAACGAATCTTGAAAAGAAAATTGTAATTGTAATTAATTGCAGAAAGAGCCAGTTTAATTTAGACACTAGCTTAAAAACTGGGAGACTCTGACTTCTGCTCCCAATTTAAGCACGAAGCCAGCTGGATAACTTGGGCTGGTTACTTTTTCCCAGGTCTAGGAAGGAGGCAATGGCAAACCTCTTCCAAAAAAACCTTACCAAGTTGCCAGGATTCCACATCCCCCTTCCCCCAAGAAAAAGTTAATTCCAAACTGAATATCTGTTACTTTTGATAGTTTTTTTTATTTTACTCTTTTAGATAAATAACTATTGATAGATTTCAAATGTACAAGTATTTAGATGTGGGAAGTATTCTAGTTTTCAGGTCTATGATTCATTTTTTTGCTTGAGTCTTTTCCCAGATTGAACGATAGATTGGAATATGCTGTTCATTTTTTAATTTGGTACTTCTCTGAATTTGCAATCCAGTTCCTAGGTCAGCAGAAATAAAAAGTATAAAATGCAATGTTGAAGGCAAAATAACTCTAGAATTCCATATTTTGGATTTAATTTAAAAAAATACATTTAGACATTTATGTCACTAAAATAAGTGTTTTGGAATGTTTGAAATATTTTGTGACCTTTTAAAGCAAGCATTGATGGAGTTAGGATAGACAAAAACTGTGACGAAATAGAAATACACTTATTTTTCATTCATGTATGAAATGCCTACTCTGTTATATACCTTCTTATAGAGGAGTGGCTGCCGTTGAGTCCTATTGGGAAAGGTGAATGGCTTAATTTTTAAAAGAGAAAGAAGAACTGTGTTCTAACTGTGATTCTCAGTTACCAGACATCCTTAGTAATGCAGTGCACTTACCACAACAGTCTGCATTCACGTGCTTTCTCTCTGTCCACTATTTGTGATTAAAACATGTCCTGAATATTAAATAATACCATTCCTGTGCTTTTTTTAATTTAATGTAGGTACTTGAAGAATCCAAAGGTTTAGTTCGTAGTATTATGAAGGTGGACTTGGAACAAGCCAATGATAAGGAGTGTGAAGTTTTAAAGAAAATTTGGGGTTCTGCTCAAGGGATGGACTCAATGTTAAAATACTTACAGAAGAAGATTGATGAATTTTGAAGAGATGTGCATTGACACTGGATTGTATTTACTTGGACATCTGGATTTTTCATCAATACCCTAACTGAAATTAAAATAAAACATACCTAAGGCTCAGAAAATGTGGGCTAAAAGGTAGAGGAACATGGTTTTATGGTCAAGGGTTTTTAAAAGAAGTACTGTATGTTAAGCATTGAACATTTTTTTTCTTTTTCCACATATATATATAAATATATATATATTATATTTCTTTATATACACAAACTAAAATATATAATGGAGTGCACTACCAAACTTTTGTCTTCTACTTTGTTATCATTGGCTAGTACTGTATCAGAAGAAAGTGGTGAATAAAATGAGATGTTGCATTATTTTGTATGTGGCAGGAAAGTCCTGAAGCAATGACTATTTTTTCACTAGAGTCCAGAGTTAAAACGGGTATTGGCCGGCCCTTACTTTCACTGCCCAAAAAGTCAGTTAAGAAGAGGCATTGCCTTGAATTTTGAGAAAGGTTTAAAAATACCTCAAATAATGTATTCTTTAAAAAAAAACAAAAGACAAATATTTTTAAAGAAAAAAGTACCCTATATAGAAAATGCCCCTCCTCCCCCAAATCCCTAAGTGTGCTCAGGATTTATTCTATACAAACACTCAGTCCTTCTTGTTTTGGGGAACGTGCCCCGTTCTTACCCAGATAGCATGAAGATGCCAGTTTTTTGTCCTAAAAAAAAAAAAGTTTTGTTTTGCAGTATTAGTGAATCACTGAAATACCATATATACTATGGGTTAAATAATAGTTTAGTCTTAGTGGTTTTATAAAAATTTAGGGTTTTTTAATTATTTTACTACATAATTGCTTCTATTTCTGGGTGAAAAAACTATATACATTGTTTTGTTCTATTTGCTTGTTTAAAGAAATACACCAAAAATATATATATTATGTTCATCTTTAGCTTCCTGTAGAATATATTTTATTTAATAAGTTAAAATTTGTGTGGCACACTATTAATTATTCCTTTTTCATGCTACCTTATCTTAGTTGTTTATTTTTTATTTTTTGTCAATGCTTTTAATCTTAATTATACACTATGACCCTGATCCAGAGAACTCTCCGTGCAGCAACAGGCTGTAGGCATTTTGCAAGGCATTGGGTGAGGTTCCCCTCCAGAAAACAGGAGTAGTGCTTTTAATTGAAGTGGGTACGTAGATGTATTTTTAGCAGCCTATATTTGATGCAGGATTACTATCCGTGGCCTCACAACCCTACATCAATTGTTGGAGGCAACCCCTCCATCTTCCCATCAAACACACAGTGCCCTTTTGTGCGCATGGGACTGCATCCAGAAGGGCAATGGGCTAGTGAAATTCTGTTTTCCCTTCATGCCTTTTCTGGATCAGGGTGCATAATAGACAGTCTGGTATACAAGAGTGCTCTGTGTAAATAGACCTATTTTACATTCCTGTTTGGAGTGTATGATGATTCCTACTCCAGATATCTACTAGGATTTAGATATCTATACTTGCAATCTTACTGAATGTATGAAGAATGGGGAAAAATTAAACCTTATTTTTGTACAGTTTGGAACTTTATACTTGGAGCCTGACCACCTCATCCTAGCAGAAAGATGTACAGTGTATAAATCTGCTTTTCCTTGGGTTGGTACAGTATTTTTGCATCTGTGGGACCTAATTTTTGTTGTTCTAGTAGTTTGAACTATATATAAACTGTACAATCTGTAAAGTTTTTATAGAATAAATATTCAGCTGTGAACCTGTTAAAATAAAACTAATATTTCTTAACACCTCTTAAAAATGCTGCAAAGTGTTGTCCTTATTCTCCATCCAGTGTTCTTTCATCTTTCCCCAGGAAATGCATTTTTATAGCTTTGAGGTCCCTTTTGAACTGTGATCTGTAGTAATTCTTGTAAATTTTAGTATTTTCCCCAGACTCTGTGTCTTAATTTCTTGTTTTGCAGCAAAAGCAACATTTAAAAGGCATGTAGAAAACTCAGTGGATTAATTCTTAAGATTATACTACCTCTTAGATTCTGGAATGCTGTGTACAAAAGAATAACACTTTCTCTTGGTGTCATGTGAAGACATCCGTCTCTGCTGTAACCTTGTACTGTCTCTAACCAGGGTAAAAAACAATAGAATAATATGATTCAGTTTTCAGATGACTAATCTCTTCACATCTGAACAACTGCAGTGCGTTTGCAGAAAAAGGCTCAGATTATTACTGTATGTTGCTTTTTTAGAACAATTGGGTTAAGACCAGTGTCCTACATATTTACTTTAATCAGCCACCTTCTTTTTGCTGCCTTGTGTAATTTTCCATTTTCCATTGCGCTGCTAAGTCACTTCATTATAGATGGGATTTCGTCATCTTCCTGTCAGGGACTGAGCGTGGTTTTTTTTTTTTTTTCATGAAATCCTTTAACCACGCCCCCTCTGCTGTCCTTCTCCTCAGTTATTTCGCTCAGTCTACTTGTAGGGACCTGTGAATCTGCTCTAGCTTAAACTTAGTTTTAGGGACTTTAGGTTTTATTATTTTTGTTTCCATTCTGGGCATTTCATTAGTGGAGCAAAAGACTTACTTTGGGACAGCTTGTGGCTGCGGCTGTCCCTTGTTTCTGGTGGTGAAGGGACTGGTTCTGGGGCTCCAGACCATCGCCTCACTGTCCATATGCAAGTGATTGGAGTCTGACCCGGCTGGGCAGCTCCAAAACGGCCTGCGCCGTTTTTCCTTAGCCGCTGGTGAGCTCGTCGGTTCCAGGTGAGCCTGGTAAACCGCGGCCACCATTTTACAGCTCCAATTAGAGTAGGGTGGCTCCGGAGTTCCTGGTAGTTTGACTATTCAAACTCCGTGTATTTGCCTCACTGTCGCTGCGGGGAAGCAGAATTTCAAACACTCTGCTTTTTTTTTGCTGGAGCTGATCGTCCTGGAGAGGCTGCGAGACGCTGGGTGCTGGTAATAATTTCGCGCCCTTTTCCCCTTGAAATTGATTGACAGTTGAGGTATTGGCGGTGTGAGGAGATTATCAATCTTGACCGCCCTGGCTGCCTGCTAGCTGCGGAGGGGGAAGCAGAGTGACAATAGTGGGAGGACTCCTACTTCTGTTTGAGGTACTCATCTGTGGGTCGTTTGACTTGGGCGGCCATTTTGTGACTTTCTTTTTGGCGCCAAAACTGTTTCTACTTAACTGAAGCCTGCTGCCATTTCAATTTATTTTACTATGGCAGACCAGGAATTCTCATCTGACAATGAGCAACCTCACTCACCGCCTAAGGCAAAAAAGAGTAAAAAATCGAAGTCTAAAGCCCCTGCAGTGTCTGCCAGACAGGATCCTGAGGCTTCTTCATCCAGGCTTCCTCCTTCTGCTGCTATGGACAGAGATGCCATTAGAAGGCATAATGCTTTGGAGAGGCAATGCGAGAGGGCTCAAAAGAAAGTTCAAGCCTCCTTGGTTCCACCTTCTCCCCAGTCTGAGGTGGAGGATGACTTAACTCATATAGATCCGATTCAGCCTCTCTCCACCTCTCAGGGTGCTCAGCAAGATGGTCTGGCTGCAGCCCAGAGTATGAGCTTGGGGGTGGGGGCTATGGATATGAACCAACCTGTTAGTTTTCAGTCTATTCTTACCAATGCTCTAGCCCAAGCGTTTGCTTCAAATTTTAGTCAACAGATGCCTATTGCACCTGCGACTTGCCATCTTCATGCTAACCAGTTGCCCTCTTCTTCTGCTAGCTGCCATTTTCATGCCAATCAGACAGTTCCTGGACCTAGTCAGGCTAGTCAGGCTATCTCGCAGGATCCTCTTGATAGTGAGGAGGCAGAGCGTTTTGAAGGGGAGGTTGAGGAACCAGAGTTTTCAGAAGATGAAGGTGTTGAACCTGATAATCCTGCATTCACTACCTTATTCCGGCCTGCTGTGTTTAAAACGTTGCTGCGTAAAGCTAAATTGGCAACCAACATGGCCTCTATCTCCAGTTCTCATGCCCAAGACACTGGCAGTCAGAAATCTCATAATGACTTATTTCCTGTTCCTTCCCAGGATCAGGACTTTATTCCCTGTCCAGAGTTATTTTCTGGGGTCATTAAGAAACAATGGGAACACCCGGGGGCCCTTTCTGCCCCCTCTGGGCTCGATAAGAAAATTTATTGTGTAGACCCCTCTCTGGAGAGCCTTTTGGCCCTTCCGTCTGTGGACCCTCCAGTAGTAAATTTATCATCGTCTACTATTTTTTCCTCAGATGTCATGAAGGTGCTCCGCTCAGAGGATAGGAAAGCAGAGGCCGCTTTCAGAAAGAGCCACCAGGCAGCTGCCTGGGCTGTAAGGACCGCCACTTCAGCCTCCTTTTTTTAATCGGGCGAATCTTGTTTGGCTCAAGCAGCTTAGGGACCACCTTCCCCCGGATGACCTGCGTCTTCAGCAGGACATAAATAAGATGGTAGCTGCAGCCGAATATTCGGCTGACGCCTCTCTGGACACAGCTAAGTTTGCGGCTAGGTCGATGGCGTCTTCGGTGACGTCTCGTAGACTACTATGGCTCTGCCCCTGGCGGGCTGATTTAAAAGCTAAGTGGAAATTGGCATCCTCCCCTTATCAGGGTAATAATTTGTTTGGCTCTGCATTAGACCCCATTTTAGTTGAGGGTAAAGATAAGAAGAAGGTCCTACCGGTGGCCTACTGTAGGACTGAGCGTCGCTTTACGCCATATTCCCAGAGGCAGCCCTTTCGTCAGGACCCAGGACCCAGTGGGTCCTATGGTTCCAGACCTTACACGCAGGGGTATGACAGACCAGCTGACAGACAGTCTTTTAGGGACAGAGGCAGGTTCCAGTTTGCCTCTAGACGACCCTTCAGGGGTTCTGGATCCAGGCCTGGAAGGAGAGGCAAATGACTCGCTTCCCCCACCTTCCATTGGCGGACGACTCAGCCACTTTGTCAGTCAGTGGGAGGAATCCACGTCCGAGGATTGGGTCCTTCGGACTGTGAGGCTAGGTCTTACCTTGGAATTCAGAACCAGGCCCCCCAACCGTTTCCTTCCCTGCCCTATTCCTCGTCAGCCAGAGAAACATCAGCAGTTGAGGAAGGAGATCCAACATTTAATAGATATAGGGGCTATAGAACCTGTTCCTGCAGGG